TTTTCCATCAGATCTCCTCCAGTGTCCAGACACTGCCCCCACCAAAGTTCACCCAGCCCTGAGTGGTCTGTGCTCTCCCATTCTCTTCAGCCTCTTGCCAACCCCCTCAGGACCCAAAGCCCAATCTCCCTAGACCACTAATCCTCAGCAGACACCTTTCCGAGCTTCCAAGTCTGGACACAGGCTATTCTATGCCCCACGATGCCAACCTAATGACTTCCCTTAACACTTAGGCCTCATTCATCAAGAGGTCATCACCTCCTCTACAGGGCCTCCCCATTGCCACCTACCTCCTCCTTGTTTCATTCCCTCCAATACCCTAACCCACCACAGAAAGCCTGCTCCAGGCACAGGGCTTGCCCACCAACTCCAACCAGTCGTCAGTGATGTTACACCACACCCCTGAACTGCATAGGCACAGCATCTTCTCCAGTCCTGAGCACATGGCCTCTTCTCGGAGGTATACAGCAGGTATACAGCCTGCTAATTTCTGTTTCTCACTCAGTCTTGCCTTTCCTTGGATGCTTGATGTCTGCCAGCTTTTTGGGGCAGGCTGGTTGCTCTTCCAGAAGACCCTGTTCCATTCCTGGCACCTACAACCATCTGTAACTGCAGTCCCGGGACATCTAACGCCCTCTTCTGGCCTCCATCGGCACTGCATACATGTGGCACACAGACATACATTCAGGCAAAACATCCATAGGCATTTAAAAAAAAAAAAAAATTAAGTACTGCCTCCCCAGGAGGTGGCGGCTCAGGAAAAACTAGGATAAAGGCCCTGCTCTCTCTTGAATCTGGGAAAACTTACTTGCCAGCCTGAGAAACAGTGGCTGCCCCAAGACCAGGTTTTATAACGTCTGAATCTGCCAAGAATTTGGAAGGAGGAATCTATAATTGGCTACTGTACTTTTCACACTTGTGGCTTACTCATTTGCATTTTTAAATAATAGCCCAAGCTCACAGTCCTTGCCTTCTCCCCCATGCGGTGGAAGCCAGTTTATGTTGGGGCAGGGGCTTTGCCAGCACGGCAGCTGCAGGCAGGCAGGGTCTTCTTGGGTCTTTCTCCACTGAGTTCAGACACACTGGAGGAAGGAGTAATAAAACCCTGCACAGAAAAGCGTTCTCTCCTGTATTTTTCCACAGACAAGACCAGAGAGACGCAGAGCTCCTAATGAGCCCTCATGGAAGCCTAAGACCCAGTCCCTGAATCCAGTAACCCTCCGCCCCCAGAGGCTGTCTCCAAGGTGGTCACCACTCTGTATTTAGCACTTGTCCATTTCAGCATCTATCTGACTGTGTTAGAAGCTTTCAGACTGGGGGAAAGGAGGCGGGGCACAAGTCCTGATAGCTCTGTGGGCTTGGACCATACCTCTCAGGTATGCTCTACTGGGTGCATAAAACTAACCCCCAGCAGCCAGACTCGGCCCCTGGGAGTCTTCCTGGCTGAAGATGGGGTAAAGGTCCCAATGTCTGGTCCCTGGCCACCTACTGCAGACTGGCCCACACAGGTGTCCAGGTTGCCACACACAGAGCAATGCCTGTTCAATCCTTACCTTTGTACCTCAGCCCTTGGGTCCTGCCCAGTGCCTCAGCACTAAACTGCTGCTCCTTCTCAGAGACCCACACGGGGCACCCTGGCAGCCTCCTCCTCCTGAGCTAACCTGGGCAGAGAGTGGCACAACTACAGTAATCAGACCAGGAGAGGCCAGGCAGCCAAGGAAAGCTCACCAGTCCCCTGCGGGAGGACCTGCAGAGCCTCGTGATGGCCTGCCGCCATCCGTCGTTGAGGAAGTACCTGGTTCAGAGATGTAAACAGACTTCAAACTAAACCTTAAAACTGACTCCAACGGCACGTTTTTAAGCTGACATCTGACATGTCCCATAAGTTTAAATACTTGCAGAGGATGTCATGTCCAACATGATGTAAATATTAACATTAGAAACTAAAACTGTTACTATTTCTCTTTTAAATGGATCCAATGTGGTGTAAATACCCTGGCGATCTGCGATCCAACATCATCCATTTTCAGATTATATAATCAGGGCCTTCTCAGACAGCTGGAAACCAAACACTGTTCTTTCTTCTCCTCAGACTAATTCCCAATCCTCCTCCCTTGGAGATTTTTAAACTGCCACGGTATTTTATATAGGAAAGTCTCTCTCTCTTACTTTTCTACTACACTGCTGAGCTATGTACATAACTGTTCCTCCTTCAAAGGCTTTCTGTATGGTCATAAAGCTTCACATACATCAGAGGTTTCTTCTGAACTAAGTCATTATCCGCTATTAATACATAATTGATCAACATGACCCACATATACTCAAAACTACACAAGTAATATGCATGAAAAGAAAACTTTATCAGAAATGCAACTTTGAAGAGATAAATGGGACTTTTTAAAAAGTCATTTCCAGCATCCACAAATGAGTCTTACTGTCTGCATGTGTGAGACAGTTTTAATTCTATCTACAGTTTTCAGCTTTTGTAGAAACAAGTGTTAAAACTCAAGGGGAGGAGGGGACATGAATGGGCAAATTCATCACCCATGTGCTAGCTAGCTGACAACCCCACCGGGTCCTCTTCCTTTCACCCTTGTTGCTAGCACCATGGATCTATGTCCAGTAGTTATCTCCTGGGGTTATTACGCTGCCTCCCCTGATGATGGAGGGCTGTGTCCCACACTGAGGTACAGCTCTGCAGGTCATCAGCCCCGATGTGCCAGGCCCAGTGCCAGTCACGTCACCTGGACAAACTCAATCCTCAGCAATCCTGGGACATGCCTGCTGTTTGCCCCACTGTACAGACTGGCAGGCTCATCACACACAGCCAGACCCTGAGCTCAAACCACCTTGTTCCTCATCTCCAGAGATGTCGCTTCCTTGGCAGGAGTGGCTGAGGCAAAAGAAGGAATCTACCAGCTCTCACTGAGGCACAGCACGTGCTCACACCCATGCCTGGGAACGGTTACACACCAGTGCTCCTTTAGAACAAAGGGTCATTTCCTGGGTACACCACAATCCCTGTAAATGTCCATCACCGATGCTGCTGCAGTGACCAACAGATAACAGGAAGAGAAATTACTTCCGTGGCCTGGATAAACAGGCAGGATCTTGTCCAGGTTCCTCATGCTCAGGTCTTGAACCCAAGTCCTACATCCATTTAGACGACAGTGAAAGGCTGGCAACACTAGGTGGGAGTATCCTGTAAATGGACCGTGCATTAACACAGAAAGATGATCACAGAGCAAAGAAGCCAGCCCACACCTCAATCCTGACTTCACCACCAAGCAGTTGACTTCTCCAAGGGCAAAAACACCTTGAGACTCAGTCCCCTTGTCTCTATAAGAGAGATACCGCCTCCTATATAATCCAAAGGAGATAGATGCTGGGGTGGCTAGGGCATGGTCACCCTAATCCTCTAACTCATTCACACCTAACCCACTGACTGGCACTCTGCCTACCTCACCCTGGGATGTGGTGCACAAAAGCCCAGCAGATTGGGGAAACACAGCCATGGTATTCAGTTCAGCCTCCAGCTGAACAGTCTCTCTCGGTATCTTCATGTTTTAAAGTTCTCTCGACTCTCCTGGATGCCAGGAGGAGGTACAGGGAGAGACATCACCGTGTACTTTATTTTTAGATGCCAGAGCAGAAGGCACCCAGTTTGGCTTCACTCTGTCCCCAGCCACCACTCCCCTCTCAAGTCATCGTCCAAATGGACAACAGACACATCTTGAAAGCTTTCAGAATCATTTGGCTTGGCACACTCTAAACAATGGCTCCAGGCTCCCGCTCCACCCACAACCAGGGTAGGGAGAAGAGCTCAGGCTTGCTTGCCAGGTATGTGTCTGCCTAGTTGGGGAAACCCTTTCCCACAGCTGCTGAGCAGGGGCCTCCTGAAAGTGAACAAACAAGGGCTCTACGTATGTTTCAGCAGGCTTTCTAGAAACTTCCTTCAGATGTTAGCCATAAGCCTTGGTCTGGTCCCCATCCTGAGTGACCCTCTGCAGGGCAGGCAGATATAGCCTTCAAAGCAAATGGAAGGGGGCTGGAGAGATGGCTCGATGGTTAAGAGCACTGACAAGCTCTTGCAGACAACCAGGGTTCAATTCCCAGCACCCACACAGCAGCTCACAACTGTCTATAACTCTAGTTCTAGGGTACCTGACACCAAGCGCAAAACACCAATGTATAGAAAATAAAAATAAATAAATTTCTTTAAAAAAAAAAAAAGCAAATGGAAGGGTGTGTAGATGGAGTTTCTGTCCAGCCTGGTATCCAGATACTCGGGTTCATCTTGGATAGGGCAGTGAAGGGGACACAGAAAACCAGGCACAGCTTTGGTGCACATGTCATAACCTGCCCCTCACTGTGGTTGTCCCTCACCGTAGGTCCTGAGTTTACATGGAGGTAAATACCACTTCACCATCCTTTGAAAGACGTAACCGTAAGGGCCAGGGTCTCTAAACAGAGTTATCAACAGGTAATAATCCCATGCCCAAGCTCTCTCAGACAGACCAAATCTGCCAACCTTTCTGGGACAGCTGCTGTCGGCGCCTGGACAGCCACCAACATCTCTCCATTCTTTCTTCTCTGTTCCTCCTTCATTCTATCCATACTTTCTCTTCCTTCCAATCTTCCTTTTCCCTTTCTCCACCTATCCATCCTTCTTCGTTCTCCAGCCAATGAGCCCAAGATTGAGCACAGAGGACAAGATGACAGAACACACAGTCAGTCACTACTTCACCAACCCAAATGCCATGACCCCCCAGGACGCCCGGCCCTTCCAATTCCTCACACACCATAACTCTCCAAATGCCAGCAGCTACCAGCCTGAGTCTGTACCCAGCTGGGGGCAGAAGCTACGCCAACTCTCCAGAGGGATGTCACAATCCCCAGGCACCCATAAAAAGCCACCAACCACCCAAACTCTCACAAAGACAGATGGGGTGGGTGCTTAAGTCACCATCTGGAAATGTGGAGAAGCGGTCTGTACTCACCTGCACAACCTCTATCCCTCGCTTCCTGTGGAGAAAACAAAGAAAGCAGGTGTTACTCCAGCAGGCAGGAGACATCCCATCCCCTCCGCATCATCCACCACAGACAGGGCCAGCAAGAGAGCAGCATGAGCAACGTTCAGGCCTCTCTGGCCAGCAGCCTTAGAAGGACCTCCTTTCAAGGACAAGGTTTATGAGCCCCGAGTCCCCAAGTTCCCCTCACAACCTACAAGAGATGGCTGATTCCCACGGAAACTTGGCTGGAGCCCTGTAGAACTGACAGCAACTGTCACCCTCCCAAGCCCACCAACCCTGAGCCAGGCCGGGTTCTTCAGCAGTGAAGACCTGGATAGCCCCAAGACTCCCCTGTTTGTCTCAACTAGATTCCCAAAACTTTCACCCTGAACACCTCGGTCTGGTTCCCAAGCCTGCCACAACCTACGGTGCCAGCCATCCACTTTCCCACTGTGCTTCTCCAATCCTGGCCACTTCTGGCCCCTCTTACCATTCTTTGGCCTCTAAATGACCCATATCCCTCTCAGCCTGAACTTGTTTTTTTTTGTTTGTTTGTTTGTTTTTTTTTTGGGGGGGGTCATTGTTTGGGCTTGAGGGAAGGGTGATTACACTACCTGACAAAACTCCAAAATTTGTCTCAGTTTTGGTTTTTGTTTTGTTTATCAGACAGGAAACTCACTATGAAGTTCTAGAACTTGCTATGGAGACCAAGCTGGGCTCTAATTCACAGCAATCCCCCTGCGTCTGCCTCCCAAGTGCTGGGATTAAAGGTGTGCGCCACCAACACCCAGCCACTATTGCTAATTCTTAACATACAAAGAAATAGGTTTCACTGTGACACTTTACTAATATACCTCATTACACTTTGTTCCCATTCCCTCTTCATGCCCACCCCTTGCCTGTCACCCTCCTCCCCTCAAATATCCCTGTTCCTGCTTCCGTGTCACACATATTCAACTACCCTCACTAGCTTCCTCTCCCTTCCTTTAGACCGCTTCCTCCCCTCACCTAGTCCTCAATTCTAAGTCTGTACACCACAAACAACCCTGCATGTCTGTGTGCAGTGCTGCACCACTCAGACACAAGGCAGGATGTGGGACCAGTCTGCAGCTCTGTCAACAGATGGATGCATGAAGAAATATATATATGCAGTGGAATTTTATCCTGTTGTAAAGAGGAAAAAGACCATGGCGTCTGCAGGGAAATGGATAGAAGTAAAGATCACTGTGCTAAATGAAATAAGCCAGACTCGGGAAGACAAATATGTTTTCTCTCACAGTGGAATTAGCCTGGGCTTTGTCTCCTCCATCTTTCTCCACCACCTTCCCACACAGTCCCACAGCCAATCATCCATCACACTTGTCTCTCTCACCCATTTAAGCACATGGGTTACATTACATCTTCCCAGAGGACACCGCACTGAGGCTCCCTGCTGGCTACCCACCTGCCGCACATTTCTTACTGCAAGCCCCAGCTAGCAGCACCCATCTCCATGAGGTCCAGGACACGGGGCTGTCTTATCACTCTCCAGAGTGTGCATTCACCCCCACCTTCAGGACTCAGGCGAGTCCTCCTCCACCCACTCACACAATACCCCCTGAACCTGGGTTCCCATTCTCCCAGCCCTTAGTCCCTGAGCATGAACTACTGTCACTCAGGGAGAAATGGTAACAACCAAGACCCAAAAGGACTAAAATGCTCCATGTGTGTATTTTACCAAGAAAAAGGACTGGAGAAGGCTGGGGTCCAGGCAAGGCCAGGGGCAGACAGTTTACTTACCTAGGCTCCTTAGAACAGGGACTAAAATTAAAACCTGTGCCCCTGGCCTGGTTCTGGTACCCACTAGTCAACAGCTGCCCATTAAGGGCTGCTGTCCAGTAGAGCTATAAATATGGAAAAGCAGCTTAGCTCCCAGCCCTGGCACAGCATTCAGAGGGTACAATAAATGCCATGGCCAGCCTGGGTCCCCGCAGCCTTAGGAAGTGGGCAGGAGCTGCCTCAGCTGAGGTCACTACGCTCACTTGTTACATGTTCACCATCTGCTCAGCAAATGCTTCCTGAGGACCAATAGAGAAACCAATACAACAGACGGTAAGGTTGAGGACCACTGTAACCAGCTGAGTCAACAAGAAGAAACATGTGGCTAGTCTTTCCTTCAAAGCTACACTTCAACAGAGCCTGGCCCCAAAAAACCCAATGAGAGAACACTATGGTTGATACCACTGGGGACTCTCAGGTCACTCCGTCTTCCTGCACTTCCTGAAGGAATGACAGCCAATAGCCATCTGCTCCCTACAAGGAACAGGCCAGACACACCTCAGCTAGGCCTCAAGCCACCTGTGCCCACAGCAAGGGGACAAACAGCATCATGAGAAGGCTCAGCTATCTGAGAACCTGGATCACCTGCCCCTGTCTGATTCCCAGAACATCCCAGACCAACTGGAGAGAGAAGAAAACTGTAGCTGCTGTCGTGAGTGAGGAAACCTGGCCCAGGTCACATAGCTAGAGCTGCTCCAGGATGGGCTCTTAAACATCAACAAAACATGGACCTAGTGGGAAAGGCACGTGACACCGGCACATGTCACCCACACCCGATGGGGCGGGTTTCACCACGGCCTTAGTCTCAATTTCCCCAAGGAAATCTGCTCATATCCAGATGATCTCAACATGTGGGTCTCACCTGCAAAGCCACCTGTAGTCACTTCCAAACAGTCCTCATTTTACATCACCCAAATCCTTGAAAACAGATGGGCTACATACAACAAGAAAGCAACTGAGAAAGTTTAGAAGACTGAAATCTTACAAAGAACAGAGGTCCCCCAGGAGCATCCAGCTCAGAGCTCTAGGAAGACAGAGGACAAATAGGGACCACCAGAGAGTCCCCTCTCAAAACACAGACACAGACACAGACACAGACACAGACACAGACACACACAGACACACAGACACACAGACACACACACACACACACACACACACACACACCATGCCCTTCACTGGCAACATACAGCCCCACAAGGAGGGGCCCACCGGTTACCCCATCACTTGAAGAAGGAACAGGATGATGTTCAGGGGCTCAGAGAAGGTTCCCAGACTGGTGTAACACAGCTGGACATGACTCCCAGGATGGCAAGAAAAACTTTCATCCTCTGGGCAACAGATCTTGAGCCTCTAAGACCTCTGTGAACCAGGGAGGAGGCAGCGGTGTGTGGGTGGGTGGGTGGGGAATCCAAAAAAACAACATCTCTTACTATTTTCACCTCATAGGGAAATAACTTGGCAGGCTCAATTCCACTTTCATCAGGGAGTCCCGAAGTGTAGACTCCTGAATCCTGCTGCAACCAGAAAGTTCAGAAAGGAAATCATGAGCCCAAATTGAGGGAGAAGAGAGGAACATAAAAGGTAGGGGAGGAGACAGAAACTGGAGAGCTGGCTGTCAAGTGACTCCTCCACCCCCCCCCATCACCCAGACACACGCAAACGTATGAATGCTGTGGGCTCTGGCATGTCAGCTGCCAAACTGTCATCCATGAGTGCAGAAGATCAGAGCAAACTACTGCAAGCAGAAGCCTCTGACAAGCTACATGCCACTGAAGAAACAGCAAAGCAGCAAAAAGAATCAGGCAGGAAGCTTTGTGTATGCCCAGGAACAACTCCAAGGCCACAAAAGAGCCTTGAAGGGCAGAACCCTGCGTGCAGAACACAGCTCTGTTGAGAACAATGTCCAGAAGGAGAATGGGCACTTGTGCACACAGAATGAATCCAAAGTACCACAAGAAAATGACCTCAGCAAGGCTTCAGGTCAAGGGCAAGGGCAGCTGGGAGGAGGAGGGGCTGGAGAGGAGGCAGACTCCTCCTTCACTTTGTCCTTGACAGCTGGTGGATGGAACGAACATCAGAATGTCTCCCAAATCCTTCTAAGGGACAATCTGAAATTACCCCATGGAGGGGCCACACAAGGGTCACATTAGACGCTCAGAACTGAGACTCTAGGCCAGTGTCAACATCTGGGTCCTTGGAAGGCAGGTCAGAAAGGCGGGGGCTACAGGGCTGGGGGCAGCACTACTGTAGCTGGAGGCATTTCCTTGTTTTCTACCACGGGCAAATCCACCGCTTTCAACAATAGTGGAAAGGTAACAATCGGAGTTGAAGCTTAATAATTTAAATGTTATTAAAAAGTCTGTGCCTGGGGCAATTTTCATTTTCCTGGTAAAATATGCGCTAGTAAGTTTGGGGCAGAGGTCTACTCAAATTCATAATCTTGTCTTCCAACTGAACACCAAGGAAGGAAGGACCCCTCCCCAGAACTCCAGGGAGAGGGTGTCCTGAAGGAATTGAAGGCTTGCAGAGAAGAAGGACAGCCCCTCCTTTGGAGAGGAACAGTTCAGGGTTCAGAATGGTGGCCATCCATAGCAGCAGTCCTCTTCCTAAGTGCCACCACGGCCCATCCCTCATCCCCATGCTTAGTCAGTCATGGCCATGGTACTTGCCTTGGCTAAGAAACATGAACTGAAACAGCATGTACTTCAGGAAGCAGCGTTCAGCGGCGACTACCGGACCCTCCAACTAGTCCTCCTGACCTGAGGACATGAGAGGGTAAGACGCCTCCAGCCTGGGAAGAGACTAATCACCAGGAGGACCCTCACCCAGCATTTGGAAGGCTGAGGCAAGAGGACTGTGAGTCTGAGACCAGCCTCAGCTGGAGAGATGCTGTCCCCCAACACCATCCACGAGAGCAAGGGATGCTGCCAATTGTGAGTGGTGCGCAGGCATCAGGAGGACAGGGGCTCTGTAATGTCCAGGACACAGTTATCTGGTCTAAAGTGACCACAGTGGCTTCAGGGACATAGCACTGAGCCACCGCAGAGGAAACACAGCCCTGGAATGTAGGCATATCCACAGTGGACTCTGTGTGAGCATGAGCTAGGCCTTTGATGTTTCTTCCCTCTTGAACATCTGTCCCTGCAGCCTGACCTAGCCTGTTCTGGCTGACACCTGCCCTTCAGGAAGCAG